CTGAAGTTAGATTTTTTTATTGAAGTTAGATATTTTTTTTTACTGTAGTTAATTTTTTTATTGAGGTTAGATTTTTTATATTGAAGTTAGATGGGTTTTTACTGAAGTTAGATGTTTTTTACTGAAGTTAGATTTTTTATATTAAAGTTAGATGTTTTTTTACTGAAGTTAGATGTTTTTTTATTGAAGTTAGGTGGTTTTTTTACTGTTCATTTCTGTAATCTTTTAGAAAAGCTATTGAACAGTACGGGACGAGAACTTAGAAGGGCATTGTTTTCACTAAAACAGATTTTTCAGGTAAGCTGTGTAAATATGTGTTATTTCAGAAACTAGAGCTATAAAATGTGATTTAAAGCTTTTAGCATTTGTTTTTTCTGTGTGTAAAAGAGAGAGGAGCATTGTGATGAAAGAAGGAGGTATAATTTATGATAAAACTAAGCTTGAAATCTCCAGTCGAGCGTTTGAATATGATGAAAAGTGCTAAAAGTTAAAAGGTTTAATTTTAAATAAAATTTTCATTTACAAGTAAGAAGGTAAGAACCCTGAAGAGGCCAGTGAAGACTGATGTAGACTGTTGTTCTATTATTAGTCTATGTTACTTACTACAGTATAGGAAATATACCAACTTTGTGGAAAGAGTGCAAGATGATTGGTTATTAGAAGTTAGAATGGTTTTTGTTTTAACAACAGGTGCATCAGGTGCACAACAACAGGTGCAACAGGTGTTTTAACAATCAGGTGTTTCAAAGTAAGATGTCTTGAATACACAGGTGTGTATAATGGTGGAATGAAAACAGTGGGAGCTGAATATTAAGGATAATTATAGTTATGCATTTCAAGATCTCTGGAAAATTACTTTCTTATCTGCTAGTTATATCTGGATGGAATGTTTTTGTGAGGATTGAAACATTCTATTAAGTTGATTTAAGTATTGTGGAACAGGTGTATGGATGTGAGAGGCTACATGTAAACATGGTTTGACGATCTTATTTTAGTTGGTTGTCTCAGTGGTAAGAAAACAAAGTAAGATCATGTGAACCAATAGTAGAATCCACCCAACCCCCTCGTGTGTAGTGTAGCTCAAGGGATTTAAAATAACCTACCACAGGAAGATTTAAAAGTGGAAAGAGCAGTTTATTCCTTTTGTCTCATACCTCATGATGGAAAGTTTGGAAAATTGTTTTGGAATAAAATCAAGTTATTATGACAGAAAATATTCGGTATGAACCAATTTCTGTTTAAAAATAAATTGTATTTTTAATGAAGAATGCCAGAGCTTCAATTTAACATTGAATATGAGCACAAAAGCATATGTGAACATGGTGAAATGGATTTCGTGGTACACTTTTCACATCTAAAGACAAAGTTTAGCTATGTCAGTAAGTTGCACTTTCAACTTCAAATCTTTCTGTCTTGTGTTCCTCTTTTTTATGATAGTACCTGGGTGATGAATGACTTCAAAAGGATCAGGTTCTAGCAATCTGAACAGTCAGGATCCTGCTAAGTCTCTGATAAGTAATCAGACATACACAGTCTATTCATCATCAAGTCAGTTTATGTTTAACTGCCAAGATGTTTTACATATATCCCCAAAAGTTTAATCTTTTCATTTTGTGATACAAATGAACAAGAGGGAATCCTCAATAGCCGTGGCATTTGAAATTCTTGTAAGAAGTATTAAAGTAAGTTAATCTAGACCTGTTTTTCCCCTTTTTATTAGCTATATTTCTGTGCACCAGCAATACCAAACATGGGGCGCACATATACCCAATTCAATTTTATTACTCATCAGGACCTCCACTAGCCTACCCTCAAATTGAAATTCTTTTATGTAGGATTAGAACAAATTAATCTATGAGACCTTGGGCTTGGTCAAATACACCAATCAAAAGGTTTTTATTTTCTGAGTCCAAAACTGTAATTAGATCTCAAATTGGTCAAGAGATAATGGAACTATGAACTAAAAATTTGTACTTGAAAAACTCGGAGCCATTCTATGAGCTGCTATGCTGTTGCCAAAAATATGTAAAATGTAACCAATGAACAAATGTACACTAATTCTTTATACATCTTAATTATCAGAATGTAGTATTACTACTTGCATATAGAACCAATCACATGATTGCACATTAGATATTACATTATCTGTTAAACCTGAGACACTTTATAGTTATAAAATCTCTAATGTTTTGTCACTTTGTTTATCAAGTGGTTTATAAAAATCACACTGAAATATTGTTAGTGATTCAATCATGTCAAAGGAATCCAGATGTGTCATGTGAAGTGTAGACCCATAATAAAAAGGTGCATATCAGGATTAACTAATTATGAACTAACAAGATATTTTCAAAGTGAAAAGAAAACTCCTGCCGAAGATGATGTCATTTGTACCAGATAACATTCACAATACAGCTAGTCCAAATGCTATGCACCTGATAACACTAACACTGCTAATACAGGTGATCCTAGCTATACTCCTTTTCCACATTCCACTCGTAGTGCATTCTTGACCAAATCAGACTGTACAAGCCCTAAGCATTTAAGATTGAACATCAGGTCAGCAGAAAACAGTCATGCCAAGTAGTGTGCCCAAAACATAGTAGCTGATTGTTGTAATACTTGTGCAAATCTAAGTACTTGATATTTATACTATTATTATCCATGCTGATGTTACCTGGACAGAAAACATTTTGTACACAACTGAAAGATAGTATGAAAGTTAACAGAACCAATTTGATTGATCTCTCGGAGAAAATGCATGCAGCAGCAAAAATATCATTAATTAGATGATGATAGGTCTCACAAACTAACTGATGGTGAGTGATGATGATAGGTCTCACAAGCTAACTGATGATGAGTGATGATGATAGCTCTCACAAACTAACTGATGGTGAGTGATGATGATAGCTCTCACAAACTAACTGATGGTGAGTGATGATGATAGGTCTCACAAGCTAACTGACAATAAGTACTTACTCAGACTGAACTGACCAAGTTTCAGTTTGATGGCCTGACTTCCAGGATTCTGTGTGAGCCTCTTTGGGGGTTCTCCTCATTATACTTCATACTGGCTTATCCAGTAAAATTTTGTATGCAATTCTAAATTTGAAACATTCCTTTGGCTGTAAAGAGAGCAATAAATATGGCTAATTCTGCTTTGGTGACTAATGTTGGATTTGAGCATGTCAGTTTCCAAAAATTAGATCAAACCATACCTATTCTCTTGCATGGAACATTTTGGTAAAAAAGAGAAAAGTGATTTTGTCATCCTCGTTTTTGATGACACTTTTCTACATGTATAGGTGTGTGTCAAGTATCCATTCCAGGGGTGAAATAACAGTATTGAATTCTTACAAGGTTATCAAACCCATTAACATAGTACATATCACAGACAGACTGTTATAAAAAGCATCAGTACCTCCCGTCTAATAATAACTTCGCATTTGAACTGTCTCTTTCATGTTTTATATCCTAATGAAAATATTTTGAGTCTAAGATTTATTCAATACTTTCTTGAGATATAAATAATGAAAATTTTCAGTAGTTATTATTCACTATGCTCAGTTATCTGGGTGTGTGTTTGTTCAAAGACAATTTTCTGTTTGATACTACAGTTTTTGATTTTTTCTTTCACTTGGCTTAGGATGATAAAGACCTGGTACATGAATTTGTGCAGAATGATGGTTTGGCTTGTCTTATTAAAGTAGGGTCTGAAGCAGATCAGAATTATCAAAATTATATTCTACGAGGTAAGTATAACAAATTTTTGTGAATCTTTCAGATATCTGTGGAGAATATATTTTATAAGTTATCTGAAAGTGTTTAAGCTGAAATGTTAAAGAAGTTATTCAATCCTGAAAATCTAGAGAAATTTATTAGAGAAATAGTTCATTTGTGAAATAATGAGCAAAAAAAACTTAAAAAGCAAAATCATTTAGCAAATTTCAACAAAAGATTTAACAAAATTTCGAATTTTTCTTATCTTTTTCAACTTTACGTTACTTTGTAATAACTGAGGATTGGGATTGTCTCTTTTGTTTTTATGGCAAAGCCACTAAGGCTATCTGCCACCATTCTTAATTCAGAACTGTCAACCACAGGGAAAGCAACTGGCTGGCAGCACTTGCCACTAATTCTTCTGCTACTCTTTACCAACAGATACTGTGATTGACTGTAACATTATAATGCCACCCAGGGCCAGAAGGGCAAACACATGTTCAGCATTAAATTTTCAATCTCTCGCAGATTGCGAGTCAAGTGCCTTAATCACCAGACTGTGCCAGTCCAGGGGGTTAAGATGTGAGGATCTGTTAGTATTTACTTGGGAATTAGTCACCATGCCTAAAAGACATATCTTGATAATGCAGAGCATATGCACACTGTACCATAAGTACATTCATCAAATATCATGTTTCCTCCTTGTTATTGTTGAATTTCAAATAATTAGTAATTTTTTTAACTTTATGCAGTCCCATCTAGTCAGTTAACATGTTCATTGCTGAGGATACACATGTGTATCATAAATAAAAAACATGTAAATATTACGTGTTTTTGATTTATTATTCATGTTGTTTAAACTGAAAACACCATGATATTGCACTGAAACCCTTATAAATACTTGCCACAGATGATGCCAAGCATCACAGCAGTTAACATGTTAAAAAATGCAGTAGTTAACATGTTAAACACTGTAAGCTCGTATATTCGTATTCATCAATGTTTGCAATTCACTCAAACAACTCAATTAACTTAAGTGATGAGGAGAGCATATTCAAAATATATGATTAAAAATGGCTTGAAGCACCTAAACAGCCAGCATTTTAATCTTGTTTTGTATTTTTTTAATAAATAAACTTGTATTAGTCTTTAACAAACAGAACTTCTCACTTGTTGGTTTTGTCAAATGAAATTTTTATCCAAGTAGGTAAAATTCTCCACTTGTTTTCATTTTAATAAAATATCTAAAGGCAGACATTGTTATTTTCCACAGCTTTGGGCCAAGTGATGCTATATGTAGATGGCATGAATGGAGTTATTGAACACAGTGAAACAATTCAATGGCTATATTCACTTATCAGCTCCAAGGTAAGAAAAGTTTAGCATTTAATGTAATGTTAATGTTGTTGTTTTCTCAGCACAATGGGCTACTTGTGCTCTTCCATCCACAAGGAGAATCAAACCCTGGATTTTAATGATGTAAATCCATAAACTTACAGGTGTCCCACTGGGGGACAATTTTAATGAACTTGATTACTTTATACATCAGTGGCATTATATTTCATTAAAATTTCAATGTACAGTCCACATAATGCACTCGCTTTATTATTGATTTTTGTATACATCTTATTCGTCTTTCCAGCTGAGAAATAGTTCTTGATTAAGTTAAATTTTATTGTTTGCATTCCAATAAAACATTGCTTTGTTAGCCCATTGTGTAGCTTTGTGTTTAACAACAAACAAACAAACAAAATTAAGGAACAATACTGGGTGATTTTTCATTCACAATCACAATAATACATTTTTTTTTTGCTCTTAAAAATGTGTTTCTTAATATTTATAGACCATAAACCATGTTATATTTGGCATTTGTTTATTATTCACCTCTTTTTCTCCTGCTTTGAGCAGTTGTGCCTAATGTTTTGTTTTTTATAAAAGTAATCTTTTCTTAAGTTCATTAGTTTCTGAATATTATTCTGTATGTCCAGAAGAAAAATAAAAAAATAAGTTTGTTGTTTTTTCCAATAGAAACAGCTACTGTGGATCATATATTTCAGTCCTAGTAGTAGTAAATTTCTATCTTACATATTATACAAGTTTGTGAAAGTAGATATATACGAATCCAATCAAGTTACTAAATTGTGTTTCACCTTCTAGTTTTTTGTTTTTTCATTTATCTGTTGTTTATCTGTATTTAGCTGACTATGAAGTATAATAATTATTTCTCGTGAGGAAATAGTGTATTCTCTATGAATAAAAAACATGTTTTATATATATATACTGTATTACATATAAGTATTGATGATCTGTTCATGCTGAAATCTTTTTAATATTTTAAAAGTTTTAAATTTCAGTTAATTTTCTTGACTGTAGTATCGTCTTGTGGTGAAGACTGCTTTGAAATTACTATTAGTTTTTGTTGAGTACACAGAGGTGAACAGTCAACTCCTTCTAAATGCTGTTTCTACAGTGGATAGGGAAAAAAGTAAGTGATTAATGTTATTGAAACAGCTTTTAAAGGTTTTGTTTAGCATGTTATTTACCCATACATGTACACATCTACTTATACATGTGCGTGTAAGTTATTAAAATAACTTGTGATTTATTCAGCTGTAATGTTTTTATTTTGCATATATATATAAACAATAAAATGGTATCATCTTGTTTTTAAAAGGATCACAATTTCAGTTTTGGCAGTAAATATTGTTAAAATCAGTAAATATAATATTCTTACTATTAACTATTCTAAATGTATTTCTTTATTAGTATTCATTAAACATATATTGTATGCTAAGCATTTAGTCAACATCAGTTGTCTGCTGAATAAAGTTTTTACTGAATATTGTGTAAAGCAGTTAAAATCTTTTTTCCCCCAAAATGAGTTATTCAAAGTAAGGATATTTACCTGGGAGTGCATCAAGGCCAAGGCTAACTTGTTTTGTGTGTGTTTCTAATCTAGACACCAAAGCTTGGTCGAACATAATAAGTTTACTGAATGAAAGAGACTCGGCCGACATGGAGCTTCTAGTTTTTGCTGTGACACTTATTAATAAGGTAAGAATAGTTTGCCCATTAAATAATGACACTCATATCCAGCAGAAACATATTCTAATACACTGGTAGTGTGAAAAAGAGTAACATAAATAGGAATGGCTAATTTATGAATATATAAAATGTTATAGAACCTCCTATATCCAACATTAAACAAG